AAGAAATTAAGTACATGGATAAGGAGTAAGTTACTGAAAATGTCCAGATTTAAGAAAGAACTAAATATAATGAGGAACATAAAATATTTAAAATTAAAACTTCAATGGACCATTTTGAATTTCAGATTGGATATAGCTGAAAAGAGAAGTAGGAGCTGGAAAACTGAAATATATAAATGAATCAGAAACGTAATACAGAGGGGAGAAGGAAGAAGAAAATGCAAAAGACAAGCTGCAGAGGACAAAATGGGAAGGTAACACTGACCTTCTCAGAGAGAATGAATGAGAGTGGAGCAGGAATGGATCACAGGCAAGATCTGGAAAAAAGAATGTTTGAAAATCCCCAGAACTTTCGAATGAAACCCACACACATCATCATGAAGCTGCAGGAGACCAGAGGCAAGATACTCTCCTAAAACCCTTCAGAGAGCAAAGACAGATGACCTTAAAAGGAATGGCAGGGGAGCAGCAGAATTCTCAAAACCAGTACCAGCAACCAGGAATCAACTGGATAACAGCTTCAAAATGCTGACAAAGCAAAAGTGCCAATCTAGAATTCTATACCCAGCAAAAGCATTTTGTAGGGTAAGCATGTTCCCAACAAGCCCTCATGAAAGAACATCTTAAGGGCATAAAGAAAGTAAAGTGAAAAAATATATAAGTGAATAAATCTAAGAAAAACCTGCATAAAACAATAGAAATGATGTTTCATGAAGCTTATTAAAGAATCCAATCAAATAATAACTAAAATAAACAGCAGCAATAATAGTTCCTAAAATACATGGGAAGGAAAGTGTTTAGAGTTGAAGTGATCCAAGAAAGAGGGTACAGGTATTGATTAATTTCAGACTTTCATATGGTTGTTTGCCAGAGATAATTACTATAAGACAAAAAGGAGTATCAAAATGTTTTATCTTAAAATAGGAAGTAATAAAATGAGAAAAATATGAGCAGTCTTACAGAACATAAGAAAGAAAAAGAAACAGAACGTTTGTTGACAAAGAGAAGTAACATAGAGAAATAAACCCAAATAGTTCAATATTTATAGTAATGAAAATGCAGCAAATACTTTGCTTAAAAGAAAAGATCTGGGGCCAGTGTTTGACCCCCTAGCCAGCTGTGACACCACGGTAGATCCTGGACTCCAATTCTGATTCCACTTTCCATTCTAGTGTTCTACTCATGCAGATTCTTGGAGGCAGCAGTGATGGTTCAAGTAGTTGGGTCCCTAGCACTCACAACAGAGACCTGGACTGAGTTCCCAGCTCCCGGCTTTGGCCTGGCCCACCCTGGTTATTGTGGGCATTTGGGCCATGAACCAGTGAATGGAAGCTATCTGTCTCTCTAAATAAATAAATAAAAACAAATCAACAAATAATAAAATGAAAGTAAAAGATCAATTAGCTATATGCCAATTATAAGATTTTTTAAAAAAAGGGGGCTCTTTTAACAACAACAAAAAAGGCTGAAAGAAAACGGAAGGAAAAGTATATATAGTGATTTTTATCCCATTAATTCTACAAAGGGAAAGCTGTGCCAAAAATACCCTTGTTATGCTAGATACTTTAAGTGTCTTAAAGTGTCTGTTAAATTACAAGTACTGGATTACAAGCTTAAAATCATAAGCTGTCTAAGTTTATATTTCTTTGATGCTTTACTGTATGCCTTATTTATGACTTAAGGCTGTCAACACAGCTTTGGAGTAATCAAAACCATGGGTGGTGTTTATAAGGTGATAATTAATTTTACTGATGTATTTACAATATTTCTCTTTGTCAAAACAGACTTATTTCATTTAATTGTTCAACCAGATAAACTGGAAACAATATGCGATTTCTTAAATAGAGCTCAAAATGTCAAGAGAAGCTGCTGTATCTGGTGTGGAACTCAATATTCCTTTTGAGTTTGCTTGTGGAAAATGAGTTAAATGATCTTTTTGACTTCATGCTATTCCACATTTACCTGTAGCTGTTGTAGTACAACATTCCATATAAATCCTTCTCTCACATGAATGCAAAATTCCAGCATAACCCTTAACTGATGAAAAAAATACTTAAGTGTTTTCACCAGAGGATCTTCCTAGGTATTTAATACATATAACTTGAAAAAATGGGGAGGAAGATTTTGCATGGGACAGAAGGTGAAAACATTGTATAGAGTACAAATGGGAAGGTGTGTTTTCTTGAGATGGAAAATACTCTTAAAGCAAACATGAACTTGTGAATGTTTTGGTAAAAAAGCCAGGTTAACAGGTGTATATTTGAGAAATCCTTCCTACAACTTCACAAATTAATAATTCAAAAATATATCACTATAGAATATAAATTCTGCACAATCATTACTAAAGGACTATATAAATTACTTTGATGTGTGGATCTTGAACAATTGGGTAGGATACTCACTAGTAAAGTTTCACTCCACTCCTGTGTAGAAGTTTGTAATACATAAATTCATGCCACATGAAATTGATAAAAAGTGGGTCTATGGGGTTGATAGTAAAGGGTGGAAACTGTGAATGTTAACTCTGTGAACTTCAGGTTTCTACTCATAGAAGTTTAAGAGTGTGGAAAATGCTATTGTAATTAGAATAGTCTTGTATAGAATGTACTGTCAGAAGATGCTGCAATTTTGCATTTAATTTCCTGAAATGCCAACAAGGAATATCGATAAAGAATCCAGATGTATCAAATGATCTTTTCTATGAGCAGAACATTATTTTTTCCTCCTTAGAATACAGTACAGAGCATCTCTGTTTAGGAAATTGATTTGAATTATCCATGTAGAATCAAACATCTAGATCACTGGCCACAGATGAATTCTTGGTGTTCATATTTAGGTCCAGCTAACTCATTGGTTGTAAGATGCCATTAGAATAATCCATATTTTCTGCAGAAAATTATTTTGCCTCTCTAAATGGTCAGCTAAAGGCCAGGCTTTCACTCACCTAATAAATTATTTACGTAATTTCAATTAGTCTCCTGTCTTCTCCCATACTCACAATAGGGAGAACTGGTGAGGGTGGAGGGAGATTGGCATGGGTCATTGTGTTTGTGCACCTGTTTTGGGATTTGTACCTGGGTTGTCTTCATCAGGCATGGTGACAAAGCAGACTCAGAAATGATGGTCAAGAAAGGAGATGCTTAGATTCACAGACCCCTAGGATGAGAAGTGTCTCAAAGGGCCACAGTGGGAGACAGCCAGGGTGATCAGGAGACAGAAAGAAGGAAAGGTGGAGCATGACCCAGCACCATTGTTGGTGGCATGGCAGCCACACTGCGGCAGTTTAGGATTGGACAGTTTGAACAGCTGCAGAAGGGGGCCACTCTCTCCTTGTTCAACATCTGGCCCCAACATGATGTAGGACAGAGGATATTGGTTTGGTACATGAGAACTTCATAAAGGAATGGCTGGGAGTGTGGGCTCTGGACTGGGTGGTCTATATTTCAGGGAGGGACAGTTGGGAGGAGTCATTGTTGTTTGTAGGAATTAGGTAGCCCCTGGGTAGGGATGGAGCAAGTCTCCTGGATCAAGGTTCCAAATACCAGAGCATCAAGCATTCATAGAATGAGCAAAGAACATCAAAACAACTGTCCAGTCATTGTCACCAGGCTAAATAAACCTAGGTATCACACTATTTTTCTGGTTCCTTAAAAAGTATTGCAGCTATTGCAAAGCTAAGAATAGGTAGATGCTACCTTTGGTAGCATGTTGACAGTTTAACTCTCCTAAAACAAATTTCTCAAAAAGCTGAAAAGAAAACAAAGTGGATGACACAGGTGAGTTCTTATTAGTGAGATTTTTTTAAAGGAAGGGAAAAAAAAATCAGGAGAAATACATAGCATGCATTTAGTATCAAGTGTCTTCTAAGTACATTGACACAAGAGTACTCACTGGGACAGGTTTGGAAGATGCCTGGCAGATGTCAAGGCAATAAGAAGTTATTTTGGTGTTCTCAGGGGAGAGAGTATATTTGGTTTTGCTGCAATCACTTTAAAGAGCTGTCTCTACTACTTTAAGGAACTACTACTATGTTCTGTGGCTAATTTTCCCATTAAGGACATTTAAGACCCATCCTCCCAGCTAGATAACTTAAAAGATGGGCTCTGCTGGTGATAGGCAGAGACAACTATATTGCATGGGACTAACACAAGGTATGCAGCAACACAGGCCACTGGTTCTGGGTATCATCTCACATCTCTGACCCTTGTTTTCCTTATCCTCAGTACTAAATGGTTGAATCAGATGATCTCAAGATTTCATCTCATCCCAACCTCTCTCAGCCTCTCTCTCTCTCTCTCTCTCTCTCACACACACACACACACACATACACACACACACACAAGGGGGTGGGGTGCTTCATTATGCAAAGCTAGTGCCTACTTAAGATCAAAGCAAGAACAGGTATTTGGCCTAGAAGTTGGGATGCCTGTGTACCTGTATCAGCATACCAAGGTTTGATACCTGGCTCTACTCCTGATTCCAGCTTCCTACTAATACAGACATTGAGAAGCAGTGGTGATGGCTCAAGTAATTGAATTCCTGCCATCCACATGGGAGACCTGGATTGAGTTCTTGGTTCTTGGCTTCAGCCTTGGCACGGCCCTGGCATTGCATGCATTTGTGGAGAAAACATGTGGATGTGGACTCTCTGTTTGTCTCTAACATATAATAAAATGGTTACCTTAAAACAGAGAATTTTGAAGGGGTGGTAAATGAGACCAGATTCTGAACATGGAGACCTACAAGATTATTTTTTCTTACTCCCAACACAGATCTCACATCTTGTGAGTAGAAACAGTTTTATGCTTCATACATCTGTATTGAAAGGAGGAGGGACTTAAAAATGCTGCTGGACAAGCAGATGGTTCCACCCATTCCGTCTGTAACCTCATGCTTCACTAATAAAGTTTTCATCCTCATCAATGTTTCTCCAAAGTTGTGCCCACCACAGGTGGTGGAAGGTGCCGAGGGACACTTTCCCATTGGTCCCAAGATCCTACCTTAGAGCCGTCTTCGCCTTCATCTTCATGCACTGAGCTGGATGGTGAGGGAGTTGCAGACTTGCTTCCGGGCGGCGAGGGTGAGTTGTGAGGAACACTGCTTCCTGCCATGTTCAGACCGAGTTGAGCACTTAGCTGCGACTGGTTGATGGTGGTCAACTGTCCGGGCGGCATCATCCCAGGCTGCTGCCTGATGTCTGTGGGCTGGCCCCGGGGACGCATGGCTGCCATCTGCGGGTGGGAGCTGTACTGACTTCCTTCTGGGTTCCGTATATCTTGCATCTATAGTAAATAAATATGAAAGCACTTTTCAGAAACATGCTTCTGGTCAATTAAAAAAAACAAAACAAAACAAAACTCTATAAACTGCAGCATGTCCTATGGACTACACACATATATTTTTTTCTCTGGGGTAAAATAATGCTAACAATATATATCACCCTAAATGATACCAAAATAATACCAAAGAACAGAATTTGAGAATTCAGTCACCGTCACGATCACACTTCATCATTAAGAACTGTGTTAATTATAGTTATGGTTTTTCTGTATTAGAGACATATAGACATATATCCTGAATACACATTTACGTATTATATCAGAATTAGAATAGGTATATGAAGATACTTTATTAATTTCACAGAAGAATGGAATTAAGTTAATTTGGGGGCAAAAAAAAATGGAATTGCAGTCATACAAGAATTCCTCGAAAGGTTCATGGAGGGACAGACATGGTGGAACTGCAGTAAGTCCCTGCGTGGGACACTGGCTTCCCAAATCAGAGTGCCTGCTTTTGAGTCACTGCTACTCTGCTTCTGATCCAGCTTCCTGCTAACATGCACTCTGGGAGGTAGCAGATGAAAGCTCAAGTCCGTGGGTCTCTGCCACCCATGTGGGAAGCTTGGATTGAGTTCCAGCCTCCCAGCTTCAGCCTGGTGCAGTCCTGGCTGTTGTGTGTATCTGGGGAATGAATCAGTGGATGGAATATTTCTCAATACGTCGGTCCCTTTCTCTCTGTGGTCCTCTGCCTTCCAAAGAAAATGAAAATCAATAACAAAACAATTTTTAAATGACAGTAATAGAATTTTAAAAGCCATGTTCATGGAAAATGTACATTATGAAAAAACTATGCATGCATGAATTTCAAAAATTTTTGCACCAAAATCAAACTTTCTTTACCTTAAAGTTTCCATGAGCTTTCTGAAGTTCCTTTGTATCTAACATAAGTTCAAAATATTAATGTCTGTTAATATTCCATATTTATAGGTCACACATGTACAGAAATTCATTAAATGCTAATTATTTTATTTTGATAATTTAAGAAAGGATTTGTAGTTAACAAGTGTACTGGTGTTCTTCACTTAATTTTTTATAGAGTAGTACTGGCCAAAATGATCTCTTGACTCTCAGATTCAGGACATTTACACACTGGTATTAACCAATTGATTAATTGACTATTGAAATGACTTGACTGCACAGTCAGATTCGAAAGTAAAGCTCTAAAATTGCAAGGTCACCATATTAATCCATTATGCTATCTGGGTCACTGCTTTTTAGCTTTAATGAGACTCACTCTTGTAATTTAAGCAATGAATTTTGTCTCAGCAAGGATTAGAATTAAAAGCATTGGAGGATGAAGCTCTTAACGTATCTAGAGGTCAAATGTGTTGTATAAGAGGAGTCTGGTGGATTTCACTTAACATTTCTCTAGCATTTTCAAACTTAAAATAATGGGGACCATTTTGTGGTGCTAATAGAAGCTTGTTTGTTCACTCTGAGGGGACCTGGGGAAATTCATGCAAAGAGATGGTGTATGTGTGTGTGTGTGAGAGAGAGAGAGAGAGTGGTGGGGGGAGGGAGAGGGAGAGGGAGAGAGAGGAGTACGGAAAAAGAGAAGGGTAGGGAAGGGATATATGGTTATAGCTGAATATTAAAACTTTAAAAAAATCAAATTAATAACATTATCTTATGCTGTTTCATAAAAATTTCCACTGCAATGCTGCCTGCAAATGTTATTGTGATTTGGAAATATGAAGGGACTTTAAAAACTTTGTGGAAAATGGAATTTAAAAATAAGTTTATTTTGGGCAAAACAGCTGAAGCCAATGCATGATATTTTTCATAATGCATTTTCTTGGACTTTATTTATTTATTTATTTATTGACAGGCAGAGTGGACAGTGAGAGAGAGAGACAGAGAGAAAGGTCTTCCTTTTCCATTGGTTCACCCCTCAATGGCCGCTGCGGCTGGCGCGCTGCCGGCGCACCACACTGAGCAGAAGCCAGGAGCCTGGACCTCCATCCTGGTCTCCTACATGGGTGGCTCTCTTATTAGTCAATTTCATCCTATTAGACCTTCCCAATTCTTGTTCTTGATCTATCTTCAAGCTCAGTTCCAGGTATCCCAGACTTCTGGCTTTTTCTGGGGAAGCTTAGTCTTACCCCATGACTTTGTCTCTGCTAATTCCCTACTCAACTTATTGTTTTTCTACAATCCAAACTGTATTTAATCCTTCAACAGTAGCTCATAATTCTCCTTATCTTGAAGTCTCTCATTAAGCCGTTACTACTATGCAACAATTCACGGTATAGCTGCAAGGGTCCTTAGTGACTCTCTCAGTCTGGGAAGGAGGAAAGTGGGAGAGGGGGCACAGTACAGGCTTGTTGAGTAGTTATATAAATAAATATAAATGAATGAGTGAAGTCCACGGAGCTTAAATGCCTTGCTCAGTGTGGGAGCTAAAATCTGTATCTCCCAATTCCAGTCATTGATATGTCACTCTGTATTCAGCAGCTGATTCAACATTTTACATACCCTGTAGACAGTGTTCTGGTTAATGATTAAAAGTACCTTTCCAAATATTGTCTACGCAAACCAATGTTTGTTTTTATCTAGTTCAGGCCAATAGGCCTCCACTCATACTTCCTAAAAAGAACTCATTTCTTCATAGATGGTCATGTAACCTTACAATTAGTCCTCCTTATGAAATAATCTAGTTTTCACTGATATCCTTCATGTTGTACCATTGACAGAAGGCATCATAAAAATCAGGGCTGACTTTTGAAAACCCAAAGATGCAGTTTAGTCTCAGTCTCTATCGTTTTAAGGATTTATTTATTTATTTATTTATTTATTTGAAAGACAGAGTGACAGAGAGAGAGGGAGAGACAGAAAGAGATCTTCCACCTGCTGGTTCATTCCCCCAAGTGTCTGCAATAGCCAGGGTTGGGAGTAGACCTGAAAAGAAACTTAGAGGAGTATACATTGTGCCACAGCAGGTTAAACCACTGCTTAGGGTGCTCACATCCTATATCAGAGTGCCAGTTTGCATCCCAGCTATTGCAGTTCTAATACAGCTTTCTGCTAATGCCCCTAAGAAGGCAGTGAATTATGACTCAAGTGCTTGAGTGCCACTCATGTGGGAGACCTAGTTAGAGTTCTTGGCTCCTAGCTCCTGATTCCAGCTTCCTGGGAGACAATGGTGAGGGCTCAAGTAATTGGATCCCTATCACCCATGTGGGAGACCTGGGTTGACTTCCTGGCTCCCAGCTTTAGCCTCGCCCAGCCCCGCCATTGCAGGCATTTTAGAAGTTGAACCAGAAAATGTTAGCTCTCTCTGTCTGTCCCTATCTTTCTCACATAATTAAAAAAAAATTAAACATTTTTACTAGCAAAATCACATTTCAAATTTATCTTTCCAAAAGTACTTAATTGGTATCTTAATTTCCAATTCACGTTAAGTCCCAAGTCACAAAGCATGCATTGTTTGTAACACAGTCATTTTGAGTCTACTTCATCTCATTCTATCCAAAACCTCATGGCTTCAGCATGGAGTGATTCTTAAGTTGATTTTCATATACAGTTTCCAGATTTATGACCACAACTAAGAAAGTTCCAAAGGCTAAGAGCAATCTCACTTTATAACACCTATAGAATGCTCCCACCATTTTGCTTTCTCATGTTAATTTGTGATGTTGGGTAGACCTCAGCACCCTAAAATCTACATTCCCACCCTGGCCCTAGAAGTAGAAGGAGGTGTGGGCACAGAAGAGTAAGGAAACAACTTGGGGAAGGATGGTGAAGTACTCAGGAGGGCACCCTTTTTCCAGAGACTCATCATTAGTTCAAAATATTGAGTCACCCATGCCTTTAGGTCCAGCAGGCAGCAGCCTACTGAATGAAGAACAGCCCTACTGTGTGGAAGGTGATAAGCACAAACGTGAGAGCTCAGCCAGCTCTTCAGCCATGGATGTAGTTACCAACAGTCGGACCTCAGATTCACAGTGATATCTCTGAATGAGGAGGAATGTTTTCATTTCCTCATGCTTTCATAGGAAGCAGTTCAGTATTAATCATTGCCTAATAGGTAATATGGGGACAATTAAACTGGATTGAGTCTGATTACTGAAAATAAGAATAATTAGTTAGCTCATGCAGGTAAGCAAATGTTTTGATTGCTAATTTTCTTCAGGAAACATATTGATTGACAACAGCTCCTTAATATCAAACATAAATCCTGAACTAGCATAATACTATTTTCTGTTAATGCCCATTTTTTTTTTTTGACAGGCAGAGTGGACAGTGTGAGAGAGAGACAGAGAGAAAGGTCTTCCTTTTGCCGTTGGTTCACCCTCCAATGGCCGCCACGGCCGGTGCGCTGAGGCCGGCACAGCGCGCTGATCCGATGGCAGGAGCCAGGTACTTATCCTGGTCTCCCATGCAGGTGCAGGGCCCAAGCACTTGGGCCATCCTCCACTGCCCTCCCTGGCCACAGCAGAGAGCTGGCCTGGAAGAGGGGCAACCGGGACAGAATCCGGCGCCCCGAACGGGACTAGAACCCGGTGTGCTGGCGCTGCAAGGTGGAGGATAAGCCTATTGAGCCGCGGCGCCGGCCACGCCCAATGTTTTTAATTTATTGTGAATAATTCACATAAGTCATGTTTAATATCAATGGTTGTTCTCTCTGATTCTTCACTGATTGCTTTTCTTGCTACAACTTTCCTCCACTAAATGATTCTCTGGCAGCTCTGATCTGAATCAGCTTTCTTGCACCCAGGTGAGATTCACCATGGCTTCACCCACCAGGGATGTTATAAATGAGGATGAAGGGAGCTGGCGCTCTGGCGTAGCGGGTAAAGCTGCCTCCTGCAGTTCCAGCATCCCATAAGGACACCAGTTCGAGTCCTGGCTCCTCCGTTCTGATCCAGCTCTCTGCTATGGCCTGGAAAATCAGTAGGGTGATGGCCCAAGTCCTTGGGCCTCTGCACCTGCGTGGGAGACCT